TCATAGAACTAGGACTGGAAGTCCCATTTGACCCAGCTATCCCTCTGCTGCGTATCTTCCCAAAAGAATTAAAAGAATCATGCCACAGTGATATATGTGCACCCATGTTTATAGCAGCACAATTCGTGATAGATAAAACTTGGAAGCAACCCAACTGCCCATCAACAGAAGACTGGATAAAGAAAATACGTTGTTGTTTTTTTTTAAAAAAAACAGAGTACTACTCAGCCATGAAGAATGAGAAACTAGAGACACTGTAGTGGAACTTGACATAAGAGCATTCATCTTGGAAGAAACTTAAGGACATCTGAGTGCCTGGCAAGCCAGTAGTCTCAGGACAAGAAATGCAAGCAATTCTTGTTTGTCCCTTGTTAATCTCCCAAGAGAATACAGAAAAAGTAAAAGATGTTCTGTAAGGCATTAGAAGGACAAAGTAAAAAACAAATTTTTGCGAATACAGCTGGCCAAAATATTATATAACTTTAGATATAAGATAAAATGCTAAAAACATGCTTTTCATCTGATGCTCTGAATAGAAACACTGCAGTTGTGATCACGAGGCTGCTGTTTGCCTGAGCGAGCTGCAGTCCTCTGATCCTGCTCCCCACACCTTGCCTCTCTTCATTTTGAGACACTGAGACTCTCGGGGAATCGGTGACCAGACATTTATAGCTAAATGGATGTACATTGAAGCGATACTCTCAAGTGAAATAAATAGGATACACATGTGTAAATACTGAATAGTTTCTCTAGTGTGAGAAACTGAAAGAGTAAATAAGGACCAAAAGGTATAACAGATCATGTGAAATAGAAAGAAAATGGGCAAAGGAGAAGGGGAAGTGAGAGGGGGAGGGGAAAAGAAAGAAGGGAGTAGAATTAATATGAGAAAAAGAAAAAATGGAAACAAAGTCTTTGTAAACAGGGAGGGATGGAGGGGTTGAAGGGAGGGCAGGGGAGTGGGGGAAAATAAGAACCAAGATGGATTATGTAAAGGTGCAAATTTCCAATGATGAGTGCCATTATATTGTATACCTTAAAAGTACCAATAAAAAAATTGCTTTAAGTAGTCTAATTTATTCTCCTCTAAGAAAACACAGAGAATAAGAAATAGATACTCCATCTTTGATGAAACTAAGAAACAGTGGCCAGGCACACACCTGTGATCCCAGCAGGAGGCTGCAACAGGAGGATCACCTGAAGTTCAAGGCCTGTCTGAACTACACAGTGAGACCCTGTCTCAAAAAAAGTAAAAAAAAAAAAATTTTAAGAAACAGTGGCAACCACAAATAACAATGTAGCAGTAATAGGATGCAAACCAGTCTGTACTTGGCATCTCAGAGGATATCAAACTGTGTTCCCCTACAGGGACACCCATAGGAAGCCAACAGCCTTGTCCTCCAGTCATAAAAAGCCAAGAAACTAGAAGCCCCAAGCTTGATTAGGGTTCTGAAAGCAGAGTGCAATGGGCTGGTTTGAACCTCCACATGCCAACAAATTCAAAATTCCAATAAAATAGTCTTGTTTTATACAGTATGAGTCAAGGTATCACGCTTCCTGCCAATTTACTCCTGTGTTTCTTTTGTAGGAAGACGTAACTCTAATCTCTATAAAATTTAGTACTGACACAGAGAAGGTGACTTGGCCAAATACAACCCTGGAGACATCTGACCTGTGAGCAGCCCATCTGGCCCCACGCACTGGCGAGCTCTGGCGGCAGGAAGCACCCACTCACCAGGTCTTTGCAGTCAGTGCTGTCTAGACACGGACTGCACTGCGGCTGTGAGCTGGGTCTTCTGATCACTATGCCACCGCTAGCTGAGCCTGCCACTTGGTGGCCTTGAAACTCAACAGGCTGAAGGCAAATTATTAAAAACTGTAAGCATGCACTGACAGATACATTCACAGTGCACAGAGAAAATAATAAACAACTCAACTTTCTATTAAATATTACTTAATGTCAATTATTATCAAAGGACTTAAGCTGAAAACCAGGAAATACTTATTATCCAAAAGTAGATTATGTGTGTGAGGCAGATTTCAGTACTAGTCAAGGCTGGTCTTGAACGCACTATGTAGCCCGTGCACTCATGGCAATCCCCCTGCCTCAGCGTTCATTTACTGAGATTACAGGTGTGTACCACCACACAGGCTTCATCTTATTCAAGAATGAAGACTCTAAGCCACAGCTGAAAGGAAAATCAAATCCAAATGTCCTTTTATACAGGAAATGGAGGGCTGGGTATTTAGTTCAGTGGTTCCACTGCCTGCCTCGCAAGCAGAAGGTTCTGAGTTCGATCCCTGGTACCAAAAAAAAAAAAAATGTCAGTATAGGAACTTTATTGAAAATATTTTTCTGAATTAAAAAGCTTAAAAATTTCAATGAAAACAAATCTCAATCATTAAAGATTCTGTACATTTCTGCTCTGTTCAGTGGGGATTATCAGTCCCCACAGGAAAGCAGACACTACACAAAATGCGTGTGTTGCATTTAAGAATAGAAGCACAAGGGCTGGGGACTTAGCTCAGTGGTTCTGGCACCTACCTTGTAAGTGCAAGGACCCGAGTTCAATCCCTGGTATCACCCCCCGAAAAAAAGAAAAGAAAAGAATAGAAGCACCATTGAAACATGCAACTATTTCCACGCCGTGGTCTCTGACATTTCCTGATGTATAGGATGAGATTACTTAGAGCTTGGGCAATGCGTATTTCTCCCTACTCAGTCTGGAGGACAAGTGATGGAGTAGATTATGCACTAAAAGGTTATAAAGATCTATGGTGCAGCAGCACACACCTGTAATCCCAGCACTCTCGGTGGCTGCAGGAAGACCGAAGATGGGCAATTTAATAAGACACTGTCTCAAAATAAAAAATAAAAAAAGAACTGGGGCCAGTGATTTAGTTCAGTGAGTCTGCTACCTGCCCTACAAGTGCAAGGTTTGGAGTTCAATCTCCAGAACCAAAAAATAAATTAAAAAATGTGAGTCAAGGGCCAGGGATTTAGCTCAGCGGTTCGGTGGCCTGCCTTGCAAGCACAAGGACCCGAGTTCAATCCCCGGTACCAAAAAATAAATAAATAAATAAACAAAAATAATTAGAGATAGAATCATCCAGCAGTACACTCCAAAGAATTCAAATCAAGGACTCAAAGAGATATTTCTAAAACCACATTCATAGCAGCATTAGTCCCAGTAGCCAAAAGGTGGCAGCACTGTATCGTCCACTGGTGGATGAAGACATGAGGGAACTGGTGCACACGTGTAACGGAATGTTAGCCTTTGGACACATGCCGCAACACGGGCGGACACAGATGACATTCAGCTAAATTAAAGAAGCCCCTTACAAAAATGGCTCTCCTTATATGAGGTATCTCAAGGAATCAAATTCACAGACACAGAAAGTGGATTGGCAGTATCCAGGGACTCAGGGGAGGGAGAAGTGGGGAGTTATTGTTGATTGGGTATAGAGATTCAATTTTGCAAGACGCAAAGAGTTTTGTGGAGGGCCAGGGGTTTAGCTTAGTAGCACCACACCTGCACAAGCACAAGGTCCTGAGCTCAATCCACAGTACCAGAAAAAAAAAGCATTAAGGATATACATGTACATAACCAATTTTGGGGGGGAGGATAACAGGGATTGAACTTAGGACCTTGCACTTGTGAGGCAGGTCAGGTGTGGTGCCACTGAGCTAAATCCGTGACCCTACATAACCAATTTTTAAAGTAGTCACATACAGAAAAAAAATGAGAAATTGCTCATAACAATCATCTCTAGGAGGTAGCATGAATTTATATTTTCTTTACCATTTTCTGTATTTTAAAAAAATCAAGCCTTTTTTTCTTTTTACAGTACTGAAGAATAAACCTAGGCCTTCACACTGAGCTACATCCCCTAGCCCTTTTCCTTTTATTGTATATTCTGAAACAAAGTCTCACTAAGTCACTAAATTTCCCAGGCTAACCTCCAACTTTCGATCCTCCCACCTCAGCCTCCCAGAGTGCTGGGATTACAGGTGTGGGCCACCACATTTAAAAAAGAAAAAATGGACCAGTAACATGGAGAAAGATGCCACGTGAGGACAAATGAAAGATTTCACTTTCTTTCACTCTTATCTGCTAGAAGGAGCAGTGGCCTACAATGGGAAATTTGTCCCTCACAATCTGCTCACTGCACCCCCCTCGGAAACACTATTTGAGAGGATTTATTCTAGATTTCCACCTTGCTCTAACTCATACTGCTATTTTTGAAACTGCAACCAAAGTGCCAACTGTGCAAAAAGCTACTCTAGAATGCTCTGGAAATTCCCTAGGGCTCCACAGAGGGCTCTAAAGCAACACAGTCTCTCTGGCCATCTGCTGGACACAAAGGGAGCTAACTCGGGCAGGTCAATGCCCTGCAGTGCTGGTCTTTCAGAGGCTGCTGTGACAAAGTATTTCTGAGAAAATCCGCCTGGAACAAGAGATAGGATGGGGTCCTCTGATGCCAGGATATGATAGGTGTGCAGTGCCCAGCACAGACACACATTGCACTAGGAGCTGTGTTTATTTAAAAATAAAATGCTGCATAATCCCAGCACTCAGGAGGCTGAGATTGGAGGATCGCTGTGAGTTCACGACGAGCCTGGGCTACACAGTGATTTCAGTCTCAACTACATAGTGAGACCCTGTCTCAAAAAAACCAAAAAAATAAATAAGTAAAATAAAATGCTGCTATCTCAGCACTTAGGAGGCCGAGGCAGGGTTGTGAATTCAAGGCCCACCTGGGCTACAGAGCAGGACTCTGTCAATCAATCAAGAGAAAATGCTTACTAAATTACCAGGACAGTATTGCTTATTACCACTCACTACTTAATAAATGGAGTTGTTTGACTAAGGAATGCAACAGAAAAATTAATACCAAAAGTCATGCACCAAGACAGCTTGAGAACCTCTGCATTACAATTTTATTACAAATTACAGAACGTTCGTATCAAGAAAAACTATTACAAAAAAATATATAAATACCTGTTGAGAATCCCGCTTCATATGAGGAGTAAATGGTATTCTTATAAATGGTTTCCTAACTGTAATAGAGAAAATAATCTTATTCATCATACGTATAGTGCTATAAAAATGTTTTTAACTTATTTCTAAAACTGAAAGCCAAGGACTGTAACTTAAATTTTAAGATAAAACAAAGTCTTGAAAATTGTTTGATCTGGATGGTAGATATTTAAGGATTCAAAAATATTTAGAGATGTGAATGACGGAACACTCCTGTAATCCCAGCACTCAGGAGGCTGAGGCAAGAGGACTGTGTAAGTCTGAGCACAGCCTGGGCTACATTGTAAAACCCTGTCTCAAAAACAAGGGCTGGGGATTTAGATCAGTGGCACTATACCTGCCTCAACAGCGCAAGGTCCTAGGGCCAGGGGTTTGGCTGAGTGGTTCCACTGCCTGCCTCGCAAGGGCAACGGCTTGACTTCAATCCCCAGTACCCCCCCAAAAAAAGGCACAAGGTCCTGAGTTCAATCCCCAGTAGCAAAAACAAACAAACAAACAAAACAAAAATAAAAACCGGGCCAGGGATTTAACGCAGTGGTTCCATCACCTGCCACATAAGCACAAGGACCCAAGTTCAATCCCAGGTACCCCCACCAAAAAAAACCCAAAACCTAAACCAAAAAGGGTCAGAGATGTAGCTCAGTGGTGCCACATCTGCTTGGCAAGTGCAAGGTCCTGAGGCTGATCCCTAGCACCCCCAAAAAATTTAATTAAAAAATATACTTAGAAGGAAAGCCTTTTTGGTTACTTTCTAAGGCGACAATGTTTCCGGGGATTTAGCTCAGTGGTGCCGGCCACCTGCCTTGCAAGCATAAGGACCTGAGTTCGTTCCCCAGTAACAAAAAAAAAAGAGACAGAAAAGAAAAGAAAAAGAATGTTTCCTATATTCTTTCTTCAAACAAATTTAAAGAATAAATACTAAGCCAATAGTTAATCACATGTATTTAAAATGCTGAAAATGAAATACCAATTGTTAGGAACAAGAAAACCAACACAATTGTACTGCTGCTGTGTGCAACCACAGAAAAGAAAATCATACCTAATGCTATTTCCATAAAACTATTTGATTATGGCTTGGGGAAATTTTTGAATTTATTCATTTGATGATTATTTTCCTAGTACTGTGAGCCAGTACTGGGAAAGAGCAGTAAGTGAGAAAAAACAGCATCCTAAAAACCAAAGAACACAGACAAATAATGAAACCTGACAGATTCAGATGCAAAACCAGAGGAGGTCACACAGGTGATGCCCTGGGAAAAGGAGTCCAGCATAAGGCAATCAGGAAGGGCCTCACAGCAGGGCACAGCCAAGCCCCAACCTCTCCATTAGTACATGACCTGATTGTATGTGTTCTGTTCAAAGACAGCTTCCTGAAACCAGGCACGGTGGTGCACGCCTGTAATCCCAGCACATGGGAGGCTGAGGCAGGAGGATCACCAAGAGCTGGAGGCCAGCCTGGGCTACACAGTGAGGTCAAGGCCAGCCTGGACTATAAAGGAGACCCTGTCTCAAAGAGAAGGAAAAGGAAAGAAGAAAAAACTTGCAAGGAACGGACGTGGAGATGGAAATAGGTAGAGAGAAAAAGGTTGTGTTTGGGTGAACAAGCCAACATGGAATGGGGTACACATACTGACGAGCCTGCAGGTGAGACTATCTCACAGGACATTTTTTTTTTAATTTTTTGAGACAGGGTCTCACTATGTAGTTGAATCTGACCTGGAACTCACTATGTAGCCCAGGCTGGTCTCGAACTCACAGCGACCCTCCTGCCTCAGACTCCTGAGTGCTGGGATTACAGGCGTGCACCACCACACCTGGCAGGACATCTATGTAAAAAGAGACTTTTCTTCAGGTTGGGATTTACAGCTCAGTAGTAGCAGTAGAGCACTTGCCTAGCATGCACCAGTCACTGGGTTCAATTCCTGGCACTTAAAAATTCTTAAAAGTACATATTTAATACTCTTTCAAAATCACAAGGCTAATTTTAAATGATTATTATTCTAAAAATCATGTTTATCTGGTGTGAAATTCAATTTTAGGCTACTGTTATGGAGGACATTATTTTCCTGTTATATATTGGAATAAATAATAAATGGAGTTGGAACTTCATGTTACTGCTAGAAAAAGGATTTTGGGTTTTTTGAAATTCGGTGTTATTTCTAGAGCTTTAAAAAATTACTTCATGCAAGTTGATTTTTTTCCTTACTACCTTCACTCCAAAGCAATATTCAATCATCTCGGAAAAATGCTTAACAATTGCAGTTTTACAAATATCTTCCCACATCCCAAAGTAGTGATTCTTCTCTAGCTTTGTATTAAATTCTATGTAACATTTATTATATTCCAATAGAGTCAACTTCCTCAAGTTGTCTCAAGGAAAGCAACTTAGGGCTGGGATTTAGCTCAGTGGTTCCACCACCTGCCTTGAAAGTACAAGGACCAGAGTTCAACCCCTCATACCAAAAACAAACAAAAAGAAAAGCAACTAAATCATTTCTAGAGAATTGTATCAGAAAACAGTCAACCTTTATTACTTGGGGGTTCTCCCTGCTCCCTAGAGTCCCCATTGTGTGCATGCACACGTGTGTGGCGTGCTGATGTGGTGTGAGACTGCAATGGAACCCAAGGGCCTTCACACTGAGCTGCATTTCCAGCCCTTCTTTATACTTTGAGACAGACAGGTTCTCACTAAATGGCCCAGACTGGGATCCAACTTGCAATCTCCCCACCATTCCGATCACAGCCTTGGCCCATTGTGGCTGCTAGTCACTAGAAAACCTGAGCTACCCCAAGGGCACATCCCCAGCAAGGCTGCTTTAGCTTCTACTTTAAACTTAACATCCTTTTGTGGACTACTTACTGCCTGGTTTTTCACACTTTTGTGCTTTTTGTTTTGGCTCTATTTATAAGTACTGCAAGCTAACCAATGGAGCTACTGGACCTCTTGATTCTGCTACTTACATTGTTCTCCAAGAATAGTGCTATCTAGCAGGGTGTGGTGGTAAACACAGGGTTATCCCAGCACTCTGAAGGATCCACCAAGTTCAAGGTCAGCCTGGGCTACAATAGGGAGTTCAAGGCCAACCTGAACTGCAAAGCAAGAACCTGTCTTCGTAATCCCAGCACTGGGGAGGCTGAAGCAGGAGGATCACTGTGAGTTCGAGACCAGCCTGGGCTACATAGTGAGTTCCAGGTCAGTCTCAACTACATAGTGAGACCCTGTCTCAAAAAAAAAAAAATAAAAAGGAACCTGTCTTCCAAAAAAAATTTAGAGGGCTGGGAGGCCAGGGATTTAGCTCAGTGGTTCCGGCACCTGCCTCACAAGCACAAGGACCTGAGTTTGATC